AGAGAATAAATGATTATCTGTGGAATATTACTGCCCCAGCATTTGCCTAACTTATCCAGGGAAACCACAGAAAAACTTGGACCAAGGCTTTTATAGTAGGTACTACAGCTAGCAGCGAATATCGTAACACACTCCCTCTTTCTGATATTAGACATCTTGTTTGATTGCGCTGATGGGAACCAACACATTTGATAGTGGATTACGTATCTATCACATATATAAAAGACCTGTATCGGTACAGTTAGCCGAAATAACGAAAGGATGTTCTTTTTTGGAAACCTCCCATGAAATAGGTAATGTTAAAGAAAATGAACAATTACCAACAAAAAAGTGTTCTTTTTTGACATAAATTCTGTTTTCTGAGCAACTGGGCCAACTTGTCTGAAACACGGTTTGTAAAAGATGTTTTGTAGATCACTTTTTCCAGATTAATGTGTTAGTTACCTCAGTAGCTAAGTTTAGTCATACTAAAAGTAGGACACGATACAAAGTGATTATTTTACATACCTGACACTTGAAGAAATCCACCTCTGTTTGTTTGCTCCAGAGCTCTCTGAAGATCGCTTCCCCGAATGTGACCATAATCGCAAGTATTTCCAAAGGGTTGAACTTCAGCAGCGTTCGCGTATGTTATTCCTGCAATGAATCTTCGTTACATGTATTACGTATCTACTGTTGCTCGGGCAATATGGATATTGTACGTATATGCATCTTTATTATAGGGGATGTATGATGAGTTACATTGTGAGGGAATAACTCTTATTGTTTTTTTGTGTGTAAATATTTTTTTTCTAATTTTATTTCATTTCAAATAATATTTCATTTCAAAGGTCAAGTTAAACTCACCATAATTAATAACTTAACCACATAAATATGTAATTGGCTCGCATAGATATAATGTATGGTAACTAAAAGCAGTTAATTACCCCCCAAATGTGTGACTTGAAATTTTGAATTTTATTAGTATGCTGGAAATGTTGCGCTCCCTTCAAGTGAAGTTAGCACAACAACACTGAAAATTGAATATCTTTGACGGTTTATGATCCCCTAAGTGTAGACGGTGGCATTAACTTAGTCCTTTAATTTCGAAATTTTTATAATTCTAAATTACGGAATTTTACAGATTAACTTGGACATATCCACAAGGATCACTGTCACAGTGTAGCGATAAGACTAGGACTTG